AACTTGAACCTAAAGGTTTCACTGACTCTGAGTTTTCATGGCTTTCATACTGGAAGCAGTAATGACCTACCACCTTTTAATCTAAACAGAAAGGAATTATTTTCATTACAAGATACTTCCTCTGGTATAACGCATTACGAACAAATGGCTCCTGAAAGCACCTTCTGCAATCTGGGCACTGACCTGCTGCACTCACAGGTCATGGAACAGAAACCAGCATCACGCAAACGCACACCCAGGACTTAATGGCATTCACAGATGACTTCATGGCTAAATTAGTCAGGGAGAACAAAAAGCTCTCCCTTTACACTGCAATAAAGGAATGGGTTGCAAAGCCACCTGGATTGTATTGTAAGACTTTTAACTAGCTGGATACCATCTTGTGTTACTGATTTAGTTATGTGAATAATTAAAAATAAAACCTCATTTACTATACTTTACTATTTGTAAGTATTTATGTAGTATTTCTTTCACTGTTAATGAGCTGCTCTCACTTTTCTGTGGTCATTTCATAGATACACGTTGTCACAATTTCATTGCACTCATGAACTGAGTGGATTTCACCCTGATACTAATTCTGGTTTTACAGGGAAGAATAGATGGTTTGGGTTGGGATTTTTGCTTGTTCTATTTTGTTACTACAGTGCCAATATCCTTCCCAGTACCCGGGAAACAGAAGTAAAAAGCACAAAGTTTTCAGAGAGCCTTTCCAGAAGAACAGTTAGCCCTCCTGTTCTTCCACATTCTTGCAGAACGTGTTATGCTGTAATGTTTTACAGAGAATTACACTCAAAAGGATGAGCAAGCCACTGCTTTCAATGTCTTAAATTCTCCTTTGCCAGAACTTTTATTGCAATATACAGGGAAGCTGAGCATTTTGATTTGTGCAAATTTCTAGTTGAACAGATTTCCTATCGCAGAACATTGCCTTTGAGGGGAGGCAGGGAGCATGGTCCCTCTTTATTACTATTAGAGATACATCTTACTTCCCACACTCGGGAAAAGAAAGCAGGAATGAAGGATTTTTAAAGAAGCCACAAGTTAAGAAGGAAAAGGAAATTATACATATAAAAGTTTAGGAAATAATGAATTGTTTGCATTACAAAGCCAGCCCAGTAACTGATCTCACTGCTGATGTTAATTTTGCTTACAGGGAGGAAAAAAAAAAGGAATATTCTTCCCTATTCCAGTCATCTTCTTCCTTGTTTTGATTATTGTTTGTCACTTGCTAAGACATATTCTACTGGGGGTACTTTTATAGTTACAGTTCCATCATACTGGTCTTGCCTGCTCTGATTGCTGTCAGAGTCTTCAACCAGCACACTACAAAGCATGCAGCAGGCTGATGGAAACAACTTCAGATATTATCTGGCTCTGCAGTGTCCTTGGTGCCCTTTCATCCTTTCTCTTATCTGGCTGTGACTACTCATCTAGGGCTATGACTCCTTTAGTTCTGTCTGGGATCTCTCTCCCTCACGCTGTTCCGGGTCCGGCTGCTCCCTTTGAGATGCAGCTGTCTTGTCTCCATTTTATTACAGCCAGCTTTTCCTTGCTGATTGTTGCTTCTTAAATGATTCTTGCTGCACTCTCTCCTCCTCTGTTGATGCAGCTCTCCAGGGCTATGATTCCTGCTGTCAGTTATTTCTGGTGTGGAAAGGCTGTCACGCTTTTTGCTTTGATTTAACAATTCTCAGATCCACTCCTGTGTTCAACAGGCTATATTTCCTACTGCACTTGGGATATAACCACTTTTCCCGTCATCGTGGGAGGACACTATCTCACTTCCAGCTGCACTAGGAAGACATATCCGCTCTCTGATGTAACTCGAGAGCCTTGAATCATCTGCCAGTATTGTTTATTAATGAACTATCACGACTTCTCAATTTTCTACATATTTGTGGCCCTAGCGGAGGATGACATGCTCCTATCTGAAGAATGACTAGTATGATGCTTTCGAAAGAGGCAAAATATTACCCTCAATAACTTAAGTGGAAAAACATTGTGTGCAGCAGGGTTGTAATGCCTGTTTCGTTCTGCTTGTGGGATTACCTGAATACCACTCTTCAGGGCTTTATGTCATGAGATTTCTTAACATATGCAATCACCAAGGACAAGAAAGTGGAAATGAAAAATAGATTCAGCTCTAAGGCATTTAAATAGCACAGTTTCAATGGTCACCTCTAAAGTGTATAGAAAGTGGCATATCCTTAAAATCACAGCTGAGTGTCTAGCAGGGATGGGCACTTCAACGGTGACTAATTGATTTATGCCATCCCAATGACAGCACAGACAATGAATAGACAACGACATTCTATGACTCTCACTTCACTGAGCAAAATGAGATGGGAGAAAGTTTCATAGTTTCAGTATTGTGCAGAAAATTGTGAAGAGAGAAAAGAGATCACGTGGACAATGCAAGGTCCCAGGGAGCACAAGGTGGATAAAAAAAAACAAAATTAAAAGAGAAGGGAAAAAAAAAATCCATTCCAAAATGTAGGAAAAAGATACTGCGTGTAGTGCTAAACTATTTGAAAATGAACGGATTATTTAAGGCATTAGAAATGCCCTCACTGATGTTGCTGATGCAAAGTTTACTAGAGTCAACAGAAAAAATTCCCCAGAACTTAATACTTGACAGCAATTTAAAAAATAAGTCAGTAAACAATGAAAAAAGTCAGCCCAGAAACACCAGCAGCAGTATCCCTCCAACAGGGCTCACTGTGTGAGGAGGGCTTTGAGGCACCTGAAAATATTTAAGCACATACCTGACCAGGTAAAACCCTTCAGTATAATTTTACTGTTTGGATTTTATTGACATACCATTCATCACAGTATTTGTATTGGCAGACACTAACGAGCTAGAAGGATAGGCAAATGTTCTAGCTATCTATCTAATAAAAGGGCTTCTTTCCCTAGTTGATTTTAAGTGTAAGCCATGCATGCACGCATACAAGGTTACATAGGAATGAACCTTTAAGATCTACAACATGTTAAATTTGCTCTAATTTATCCTCAGAAGGAAACAGTGTCAGGTGCTTGGAGGAAGATACAAAAACAGTAAAAAGAGCATCTATGAAGTCAGTCAGGAAAGTTTCCTCCTATTAGATATTGCTTGTGTCTAAACCAAAAGGATGAATGGTTACACAGAACAGCAGACAGACATTATCAGACAAGAAAACAAAAATTCCATGGGGGAAAGAGTAGATGTCTTAATCTCTTCACCTATGAAAGTGTGTAAGCAAATTCTTCCATTGCTACTCCTCAAGGTCGTTTGCTAGATCTGGTAACTGGGTTCAAAATTTACAAGATGGGGCCCTGATATGCACACATTCAGTGTCACCTAGGGCTCAGGAGAGTTGGCCATGCTGAGTGGAGAGGCTGCCATGTTCACTGGGTATGGCCACTGTTATAATAAAAAAGGAACTTTTAAAAGGAGAGATACAAGATAGAGATTGTACTCTAATCTGCACAGAAAACAAAGTGATCCTATTAGCTCACATAAAACAGCAAACAGTATACAGATGTGGGCTACTGTCCTATTTGTCATTTCAATGTAAATGAAAATTACTTAATGCTTGCAAAGTGTTCATAAGATGAAAATATAAGTGTCAAGTATTACAGTTTACTGTGTGATATTACTATTATCATATTAATTAGAAAAAATAATTAGCTTGAAATATGAAGATAAGCATCTGAACCTACTGAGGTTCAGCTATCACCAATAAACATATGATTGAAACATTTAAACAATGAGAATACTTCAGTATACTAAAAGCTGCTGGCTATTATAGCTTAATTGACCGAGGGATTTTTGAAAATGTTACTTGTGCTCTTGAGCAACTCCAGCATTTTACAATATTTTCTGAAGTATTCTGTGTTTGCATATTACATCCTGTACCTATTACGTGGATGTACACACACACACACTCTCATTTGCTCATCCTTAAAAGCATATGATCCTTTCATGGAAGAGGATCAAGTTGAAGTTATTGCCAAACGGGAATAACTGATGACTCTAAGAGTGGGTACACCTCTTTTTTTAGCCCAGAACAAGCACTGGATAAACTGGAGGCTCAGTAGGCAAGTCAGTGTTATGCTGCTGCTGTCTGGTTACAGCCTGATGTTAGGCAGCTAATGATGAAGAAGAAAAGATTATCAAATACAAAGGTGATAGTCAAAAGACAGTTATTCCTGAATCACCAGCAGAGAGATTCAGTACAGCCTTCATAGCAGAAGGCTGCAGGCAGCAGCCTCTGCATCACACATCAAGCGCGGTCATGAAATTAAGGCACGATATTAAACGTCACACCATGCAGCAGAGAATCATCATGTGGTATGATGGTAACCACCAGCTTTTGGGTCATACGCTAACAGCAAGCCCAGTCATACAATGGAGAATGTGGAAGTGTGCTGCCCTCTTATTTCTACACAGCAGCTCCAAAGCTTACCAAAAAGCTTTCTATTACTGAAACATAATTTGAAGTTCTCTGAATTTAATATATGTTCCTTCACAACCCCACAAGGTAGTCCCTCCACTCTCACTGTTCAGCAACAACTTCAGAGTTTTCACTAGCTCATACAAAAATTAACATGCATAGAAAAAATGGAAAAAAATTACATTTAACTTTAGTAGTTGACAAGTTTTCTGGAGAGTATCAATAGGACAAAGACTACACATCTTTCTCCTTTTCAAAGCATCTAATATAATCCAGATAGTGCCACAAAATAAGTGATAATAAAAAAAAAACCCAGATTATCTTGCTGAATCCTAACAGCCTCCCAAGTTTATTTATAACATTTAATAACACTGGATGTGCTGAATGTAATCGGCTAAAATCACCGTAATATATTCCAAATATATTCCACACAAATTAAAGTTTCACAACTAGTAACCACTCTGGTGTGGTTTTTTTCCAATGACATTTGTTTTACAGATGGAACATGATCTTCTAATAGCTACTGACATACCTACATATACAAATAAGTTTAATTAGCCTCACCTTTTTATAGGCGATCCAGTCAAACACCCTGTCGATGTCTGTGGCCTGCTGCACCTCCTGGGACACTGGATGTGAACTGGCCAAACCATCCAGTAACATCACTTCATGTAGGACATCTGTCAGAAATCTCTGTTTTTCCTGAAATACAGCATATGTGGTAATATCACAGACAAATACACATTTACAATAATGCAGAAATTATGCACAGTTATCAGAGGCAGCCTCTATATGACAGTTGACTAAAATCCGACCTTCTGATCTGAATGTAAGCCACCATGACCTCCTATAATCTTGAATAGGTATATGGAATAGACAGGAACTGCTTTTAGCATCAGGGATCCCTCTGACTTGAGATCCTTTTCTGCAATGAAACCTGACTGAAATTAAAGACTAGAAAATGAATTGAAACAGTATCTGTAGGTGCAGATGGAAATTCTGATTATAACTATTCACCCACAGTTTCAAGGAGTGGAAAGAGAGGCAAAATGGCATAGTCTTCAATCACAAAAATATATGGATGCTACAAATCATAGGGCTCATTGCATACATATGTACAAAAACTTTTGACTGAGATGGGTAAATACAATTATTACAATAATTATTATTTAGTGAGGTTTTAGTCATTTGGCTCTTAGTGCCAAGTTCACACTGGTGGTTGACATAGCACAGGACAATGAACAGAGCCCACAGCAGATGCCTGCATTTTCATAACTCTGGTGTAGAAATCCTTTCTCCTCAAGAGCTTGCACGCTCTACAAACTTTGTAACTTCCATCCAAAGGAAACCAATTTCTTTACAATTTCTTTACAAGTAGGACAATAGCCGCATATAGAAGTTAAATGACACTGTCAAAGTCACAGCTACATCACAGGCAGGTGCAAACCCAAACAACATCCAACCTACTAATTTGTTTCTATACCTTATAGAAACCTGGATTGCAAAACTGCTGCATATTTACTCTGGCAGCAACATTAATTAAATGTGCATGTACGCTCTATGAACTGTGCTGCACTCACTTTTGCAGTGCAACTAGATGGGACCTTTTCAGCTGAGAAATGACATGCCTTAAAAACTCCTCATATTGCATTCATATAGAAGTCTCTGATACAAAAGACTGTGTCAGGAAAGAAGAGCTTCATTTACCTGTTTTTTTCAAGTCACAAATAAATGCAAAGAGTGAATTAAAAATTATGGAAGGTTTAAATAAGTGTTTTTTCACCCTGAAATGACATGTCTCGAACTTTATCTAAATTACAACAGTTCCTGAATTAATGTCAAACTAGTGCCATAAAATAAAGAAACTGTAGCGAATGATGCATTTTTTTCAAAAACCATCTCAATGTCCACAGATAAAATAACCACACAATTACATAATAAATTCCATATTTAATTTCTTGGGTGGCAAGGTTTTGGTATCAATGTGTTAATTTAAATTATATTTATAAGGCAGCTGAAAAGCTGCTCCAGCGCTGATCCATCTGGAAATAAACCTTTACGTTAAAATTCATTAGAGCACAAGAAATGTACCTTGAGCTGATTGTATATTCAGGCAATTAAAAACACGGGATGCAGGAAAGCCAATTACCCAACACACTCTTAGTGTTCTCAGCTGGCTGCATGAGGTAAGGTTTGTGAAGGGAAAAGTAATATCTTGTTCATATTATTGTTCATTTCCAAATTTTCTCAAGCATACGCAGTTAGTTACTGCCTTTTTTTTAATAGGGAAAAAAAAAAACAACAAAACTGTAGGGAAACAATTATTATGATAGTCCTACCCAGGGGAAAAGTGCTGAGGTGTAAAGGATTGTAGATGCTTTTGTTACACCTCACTCGCACTCTCTATTAGTCAGTAGCAGAGCACCAATTTCATCCAAAGTAGGATACCTAACACATACAGGTACGAACACACACAGGTACAGACCCGTCTCCAAATTCAAGTTTGGATATCACAACTGACAAAGAGTTGTGGGAGTGGATTGTCACTGTTTGGAATGAACTCATTAAAAGGACCCTTGTTAATCACTAATTAATACTTTAAATATGTAACCTGGAATTAAGAAAATCTGCATGTAGGAAAAATAATATGAAGCTATAAGAAGAACATAAAAGATACAAAAAGGACAGGCTACACTTTGGTTCTCTCTTTGTTTCTCAGGTTCCCTCCTGATAGGCAGAAAAGGACCTTTTAAATTCATGATCACTCATTGAAGTTACCACAGCTGAAATGCCTCTGTAATTTTCAAAAATTATGACAGACCTTCACACTGGGATACAGCTGGAATAGCTAGTATGCCTCCAAACACGTAAACCTGCATTTTAGTGAGAATTTAGAAGGCTTTTGACCTATAAAGCTAAATTTATTGAACTAAAAGGATTTCCACAGCATTCCCACCTTTTCCCATCAGTACCCAGCCTCTGAGAGCAGATTTCAGAAGGAGAGTCAAATATAACCCCAGGGAGACACAGAGCGAGTGAAAGGGAAGTTTCCTGGCTGACAGGGACCTGCAGCTTGAAGAGGCAACAGGAAACAGAAAAACAGAAACTAGAACTACCTGAATTACCTTGAAGAAATACTACCTCAGCTACTAAAGTACTATCAGCCCACTAAGGGGAAAAGGCCACCACATGTGACCAAACTGCTTATACTGATGGAAGAGGGGCTTTCTATTCCTTAGTTATTTTACCCTGCACAGTACGGTGGAATTTACCTGTTTTAACATGATACCTACAGGAGTAAAGAAACACCAAGTACAGAAATTGTAAAGAAAATCAATCTTGGAATGTGTTTAATGGGGCCAGCAACCTGTCAACAAGGTAGGTGACAGGTTTGCAGCTAGCCATGAGACAATGACAAAACATTGTTCAAGATGACCCTCGTCTGAGGGAGTTCAAGATGACCCTCGTCTGAGGGAGTTCAACTGCAAGAGAAAAGCCAAAGACTGTGATCTGCCTGTAAGGAAGAGGGGGCTTCAGGTAACTCCTGGGGCTTTGCTTGGGAAATATTGGTAGCTGTATGTAAGTGCAATGCTGTGCAGGTCCAGGGCTCTGAGCAGGAGTTGGTGTAACAGCAGCAGAAGCTCGATCAGAAATAAGGACAGAGGTGCTGCTTCTCAAATTTGTGCCCTTCTTTAGAGGCAAGCACGAAGCTTCTCTTGCTCCTTATCTTCCTAGTGCCCATTTAGAGTCCTGTCTCTTCATCTCTTCTCCTCAGAGTCTTCCTTGAATTGTGGATACTCAAAGTCTGGGAGACCAGACCTGTGTTGAGAAGAGAAGACTTGCCAATTATTTCTTCTTGGTTTCCCTCTTACTCTTGAGCATTCTTCCAGGTGCAGAGACTCAAGTGCTGTTACCAGATGAATGTGCCTTTTGAAAATTTACATTCTCAGATTATTTCCCAAACACTCACAGTCACTAGATTCAAGTACTTGTCTTTTCATAGGAATGACTTCATTTAATCCTGGCCAATAAAACCTTCTCTGTTTGCTACAAGGCTGTCCTGAAAGACTTACTCCTTCTCTCTTGTTCTCTTCTCCTTAGCCAACCTTTAAACACTGTGAAAATTCAAATTGGGATAAAACCAGCACAACTGTTATGGGTAGCAGGGTCAGAAACTTTCCACATACAGCGATTTTTGCACATTATGGAAAAAATCTGGAGATTTTGAAACATGGATATGTAGTGTAAATCATTCCATAGCAAAAAGAAACTGGAGTAAGAAACTGGCTAGCCACAAGAACGCTTTCTGGTTCTGGTTTATTTTCACCTTGTTCTAGGAAGGAAGGTTTATGGAAAGGTAGTGGTCACTTTTTGTGTATAAATCTCCAACAGGATGCCCACCATTCAACTAACCTACCTCTAAATGGAAAGAAAGCAAGTGTGAAATAACATTTTTGGCAGAAAAGACTGTACCCTAAAGAGCCATTAAAAATTTACTGTGCATAACAGGATAACAATGATGTCATGGAAAGGGGTTGCTGCTGGTGATTTTATAATATCATATTGAGGCATAATTTAAGAGTACAAGTTAGCATGACAATAATGTAATACTTAAAGTTAGTCACATAAAAATAATTTCTAAAAATTAATATGGAATACCAGGGAAAAGAATTAAAATGAAAAAACTGGAAAACATCCAACAGTAGAACAAAAGGAATAGCACACTGAAATCCCAAACTGATAATTAGTATGCAGAAGAGATCAAAGGCCTCAATATTAAAGGCATCGCCTTTGTTCTGGGACAGCTATTCAAACAGTTTATGGACTGAGAAATCTACATGAATAAAGCTTAATATTGGTGTGCAAATCTGCAAATAATTTACTTGACAAACTTGCTGGAAATATCTTCTCCAAAATATAGAGCTTTACTAGTCATTAGGAATACAAAGGAGATAAGGGATCTCCCATGCCTGCCAAAACAAGCATTTTCAAGATGCAATACTTGGGTTTATAGGTAAAATGCACCCTAAGGAAAAAAAAATAGGGGCAAATTTGAAAGCACATATCTACACATATACAGTACCAGAAGTTCAGTTTTAATAAAATATATTTCAGGGTGAAGCTTAACAAACTCCAGAGGAATATCATAAATGAGGAAATATAAGTCCCAATAAAATACCTTAAGGCCAGAAAAGACCCACAGGGGGCCAAAAGTAAGTTCTTCCTATCTACATGCTTATAAATACTACGTTGTCATATCACAGAAAGTCTCCTGAGTACTTGCAAATGAAAGCAACATTTCTTTCTCTCTCTTCCCAACAGTAATTTTTTGTAAATAGCTTGAGCAGCTTACAGATTGGTTTGGGTATGTTTTTTTTTATTTATTTATATCTCTATGTGTGTGCTTCAGTTATGTGCATAGTTTGTTGAAGGACACATTCTACATTTATCAGCTGTGAACATGTCATGGTTCCATGTCTACATTCATAACCCTCTTTCCTGTGTTTTCAGTCAAAGTTCTTGCAAAATTTCTGTCCCTGTGCTGAAGAAATTTTCACACTGGCTAACTATTTTTGTTGTTATAAAGCAACGTAGATGTTCTAGGAGTTTGTAGTTAAGGAAGACCAATAGCTTTGAGGAATAGGAAAGAGAAATGGGTATTTATTTTCTTTTCAATGAAGTGCCAAACCAGATATTCATGA